TAATTGGTTGTGAGTGAGTGTGAGTGAGTGTGTGAGTGTGTGTGTGTGTGCTGTCTCTTATACACATCTAGATGTGTATAAGAGACAGGGGGTGTTTGGTGGCTGCGAGGGGGAGATGCGATGGGGTGGCTAGGGGTTCGATCCCTGGCGAGTGCATTGACGTGCATCGCCAGGGACGTCAAAGGGTCTTTTCGCGCCTTGGGGAGGATCGAAATGACACGCCACGGTGGGCAGGGCAGTCGCATGTGCCACCGTCGACGATGTCGTTTCCCACCACAGAGAGGCGACGTCACGGGAGGTCCATCCGCAAGAGAGTACTTAAGTCCTGCGTGTCCCGACCCGCATGTATGTCATCCGCACGAAGGTGTCTCCAGTACAGAAGCTCGTCGCGCGTGCTGCATACCGACCGCAACGATTTGGAAGTGGTACAAGCCTGCTCACCGCGGATCAATATCACCCGCTCCGCGCGAACATCTTTAGTTCCTTGGACGACCGCCGTCGACGCCATTCTAGCCATTTCGTCTCGTGGACAATCTTCGGTGGAATCGTCGTCCTTCTGTCTACCACGCCGACGTCACCCGTCAATCATCTCGTCGCGTATCACTGCGAGCGTCCCTCTTCTCTTCTTCTCGCCGCCAGTCTTTTCGCCGCGGAGTACTCTCGCCGGGGTCATCGTCCTTCTGTCTACGATGTTCACGTTGTCGTCTTCTTCCCGTGGAGAACAGATCTTCTGCAGTGCGGAGGACGATCTTCGGTGGAGTCGTCGTCCTTCTGTCTACCACGCCGACGTCGCCCGTCAATCATCTCGCTGTAGAGCGTCGCTCTTCTATTCTTCTCGCCGCCAGTCTTTTCGCCGCGGAGCACTCTCGCCGGGGTCGTCGTCCTTCTGTCTACCACGTGCACGTCGTCGTCTTCTTCCTGCGGAGGACAGATCTTCTGCGTCGCGGGGGTAACCGTCATCGTCACGCCACATCAGCACGGGAGACATATTTCTCGCCAGATCGGTGACACTTCAAACGGCGGTCGGCGAAGCTTTTCCCGCTCATCCAAACACACCACCAAGCTCACCTGCTGAGGTCGCCACGAAGCATGTCTACACGAGGGAACACCCGTGGGAAGAAGCGCGGCGTAGTCCCTGACAACAACCAAGGGCAGGGAAGACGTCGGTGGCATGCCCCGAAAGCGAAGAGGGCGCGTTTAGAAGATGTGTCAGCAAGGGTGCCTCATCGTGGAGCGCAAGGTTGGGCGGCAGCAGCGGGAGGGGACTACGACGAAGAGTTCACGGCGGAGGAGAAGCAGGCAGAGGCGACCATGTCTGCAGTACGGGAGAGCGGTCGGCAGCGCTCTTTTGATCAGAGCGCTTCGAAGAGGATGCTGACCCCTCCACCTGAGGCGCAGCAGCTGCGTGCCCGCGAAACGCAGACAGAGAAGGATGCCGTCGTCGATCTTGGCGGCGAGGATGACGAGCCCTTCGATAGATGTCGCATGCGCACTCGTACGACGGCGACCCCACCGCCGGCGGTGACGGCACGCGCTACTGTAAATGAAAGGTCATTCTCGGGTAGGCTGCCCGCCACGCCGTCTCAGCCACGTCAGCGCAACGAGGGTGGTGACGGAGGGTCCGTCCAACGCGGCGGCGGGGGGGAAGTCGTGGCAGACGCGCGCGCAGTTGGGGCCGAAGCGGCAGGCGCTGCGGGGGCGGGTGATTTAGGCATTGTGGCCCCCGTTGCGACGGCAAGAGATGAGGCAGCAGTTGTGGCGACGGCGAGAGAGGAAGCGCGTGGCGAGAAAAAAGGCAATCGGGAGGGCAGTGAGCCCGGTTCAAGCCGGGTACGTAGAGGAGTGATGACAAAAGACCTCATCGATCGTGCCGTCCTTTGGGTCGACGACGAAGCTTTCTGGACGACAGGGGAGGGGAGAAGACTGTACAACATCGTCCACGACACGAGAGAGTACTTCGTCGCCATCGCCAACGGACTTCCACCGCCTGCCGTCCCTGTGAGCATCGTACTGCTCAAATCCAGCACGCGCGTAGGCAGGATCGTCGACCAATCACAGTTGCACCAAGCGATCTTCCGTGCGGCGGCAGTGAAGAACGTTGCTCTGCGCATCTTGCACGGCTGGGTATTCAAGTCTGGGAACCGCCCAAGGGATACAATGTGGCTTTCCAGTACTCACTGGAATCCTTTGCTACGGACATTGCGCGTGCTATGTGGTACGGCGAGGAGTGGTGCGACGTCGTCAGTCCGGCGGTTTGCCCGCACACGATAGATCTGTCCATGGACTTGCCACAGTGGTTCGCCACACCAACATCGAGGACAGACCGGACGACGACTACATGGAGGCGCACCAGGAGTCCACCGTCGTCTGCGTCACGCATGCATTCTGCGCGGCGGTGCAAATGGGGGCGCTCATCGACGGCGAGTTCATCTCGCAAGATTGTCTTTGTCGGGTGGGTGACTGCTTCAGGCTGTTGTTGGCCGCGTGCATGTGGATAATGCGCATGGCGGGAGACGATCTGCACAGCCACTACGACGCTTTCTACTTCGCAAACCTCGTCGTGAAGCCCACACTTGTCTCGTTCATGCATCGCTCCTTCGATCATCGACGATCCGTCATCTGCGCCGCGAAAGTCATCACAGAGAGGCCCGGAAAGACGAACGCTACGTTCGGACAGCACCCCGACTCTACGAAACACCCGCGGATGCGTCCGCGGGGTCGAGCTCAGATCACAGACCCAAATGGGTCCACATCCGCGGCCTACCTCGTCCGCACCGCGGACGCGATTTTACACGAATTTTCCTGAATTAGATAATAGGTAAAAAAAAACAAAAAAAACTATGGGGTTGTAGGGAATTTTAAGCCCTACAACCCTATATTTGTTTTTTTTTAATCCGACTTTGTTAAGGATTTTTAAAAAATCAAAAACGAAATTGGATTTAAAGAAAATTAAAAATATCTATATAAAGAAAAGCAGGAATTTTTTTTGGTCAATTTTTATCATGAGATATATGGTCCTTGAGTTTACCTGTATTTTTCTAGAAATTAATTTATGTTTTTTGCAGAAG